TATTATATTTGTCCAGATGGGGTGAAGTGAGGAAGCAGTGTCAGTAATTCTCGTATGTTTGGTTACTGAATGTATTAATAAGCAATGGTCTACATAAAATTGACTAGAAGGCACATAAACATAGGATGTGAACAGTTTCATGAACTTTTCCCTAGTTACAATATGCCAGTTATGAAACTTTGAGGTCTCCGGGATGAGGCGTTCTCATGATATAAACTAAAATTTTGAGGAAGAAAACAAGGAAAGCACTTATAGGTACCCACCCCCATTTTGGTGATACCTAACAGTGATTAATAATAATAATAATAATAATAATAATAATAATAATAATAAATTTACTACAGGTACATGTACATGGTATACAGGTCTAGCTGACATCAATGACATACTATATGGAAAGCCCCTTGTTATGCAGAGCATTTTGGGCAAATTAAGTCAGTTTTGTCCCAGGATGCGACCCACACCAGTCGACTAACTCTCAGGTACGTATTTTACTGATAGGTGAACAAGGACAGCAGGTGTCTTATGGAAACACGTGATAATATAACAGGTTACTTATGTTACATATACTAGCGCCTTTCTTTATTCATGTAATAAATACAGACGTGTTCTCGAGTAGAACAAGATACAGTTGTACCAACTAAGAAAAAAAAAGGGCAACTCTTGTCTGGACGGAGGTGGCTGCTGGTGTCCAGATGGAACTGGTTATACACCAAAACACTTGAGCGGGGTCATGATGTTAGGGGGGAGGGAGAGGGATGCGTGTGTGCGTGCGAGTATGCGTGTACGTGTTTTGTTTTAGCCAGGTTCTTATCTTCAAAGCCATCTGCACGAGTATGAATATATCTCCCTGCAAAAGTCTTTCACACTTGTAAAGCATGATGAAACATCACTATGGCATTAGCCCAGCAGTTGTCGTACCGGAAGCAATAATCCTTGCACTTTCTTGTAAACCCAGGTAACACACAACAAGGCTACATCAGCACACTCGACGGTAAAATATTACATTACATATCGAAGGAAGATACTACCATTAATTCTAACTGAAAAAAAATCTTGCTTTTTATTATGTATGCCACATATTGAAGGGTTTTACAGTTTCATGACTAAATTTAATAACTGAACCATGCATACAGATTCACTTGTATTAGGAGTATTTCGTGGTAAACAACAGCTACAGCAATACTTGGTTGAATTATGTCACAGCCAAAATGTTTAGATTGAACAATGTTGTCATAAAATAACATACAATTTACACGATATTTATTTTAGGTTTAATCATATCAATACGAAATAATATGATTAACAACGGACCCTAAAATTAAGAAGAAAAACTCAGCTATAGCAAAGTAACATCTGATTATCAATTAAACAAATTAATTAACATTAAATATACTGTATTTAAACATTAAATTTAAGAAAAAATATAAGCAAAAGGTAATTCTCACGTTAAAATAACTTACAAAAAAAAGACAAAAATCTCTTAATTTACGTTATATGATGACTGATATTCGAGAGCTATAAAAATAATAATTCAATGTTACTTGCTGAGGTGGCAGCGATGAGAGCAGTTAGGTTTGTAGGGCCTTCAACCACAGGCTACAACACGCCTATCAGTCAATCCCATCCCTTAATGTATCAACGGAAGGGTGATGCAATAAGCTACCTCATTAATTTCCTCCCATAATGTATCAACGGATGGCTGATGCAATCTCGTCTCGTTAATTCCCACAGGACAATAAAAATGAGGTCAACTAGGAACTACAGTAAAGAAACACTTTGAAATTGGCTACACAATTGTGATTGGACAGTGATAACAAGTTGCACAGACGTAAATGATGCCTGGGAAAAATTCAAAACAATGTTCACTGCCATCCTTGATAATATTGTACCAGTTAAAGGGGTTAGGATTAAACAGAGAACCGAACCCTGGATGACTACCGAGATATTTGATATTATGAAATTCAGAGACCAGTTGCTGAAAAGATTTAAGGCAAGCAAACAGGATATTGCAGCGGCAAATGAATTCCAAAGGGTGAAGAACAGAGTGCAGAGGCTTGTAAAAGGAGCAAAGGCAAGGTACTATTGCTCAAAAATCGAAGAGTGCAAGAATAACCCCAGAAAGCTCCAGCAACAACTAAAACAGTTGGGGTATAGCCATAAACCCGTAGATAGATAGATCTAACATAGTACTAAATATCGATAACGAGGTATGACAATTAAGTGGCAAATGGTTTTAATTCATACTACACAACTGTCGCATCAACACTAGTAAGTACACTATGGGCTGCATCAAATACCTTTAACACAGACTGATAAGTTTAAAACATACTATACCAATAAAGGGGTAACCCCAAACAGTTGTCAACTAGTAAGTGTATCTCATGACTTCGTGCACAAAGAACTAAGCAGGTTAAACCCAACTAAGAGCACCGGCCCAGATAACATCTCATGTAAGTTCTTAAAAGATGGTTCCTCTGAACTGATAATCCCCATTGCTCCCATAATAAATTTGTCCATCACCACAAATACCGTACCGGAGGGATTCAAGGAGGCCATAATTACTCCTATCTTCAAGAAAAATAACAGGTCTGTTAGTATACTCAGTGTAATATCCAAAATTATAGAGAGGGCGGTATACTGTCAAGTGGTTAGGTATCTTATGACAACAACATTTTTCATAGTTATCAATCAGGCTTCAGGAGATCTTACTCAGCTGACGCCTCCCTAATTAATCTGATGGATTACATGAGAACTGAAATGTCGATAGGGAACCTCATCAGAATGTAACCTTAGACTTGCAAAGATAAGATTTTCTTCGGATTTTTAACCCCGGAGGGTTAGCCACCCAGGATAACCCTAGAAAGTCAGTGCGTCATCGAGGACTGTAACATATTTCCATTGGGGTCCTCAATCTTGTCCCCCCAGGATGCGACCCACACCAGTCGACTAACACCCAGGTACACATTTGCTGCTAGGTGAACATGACAACAGGTGTAAGGAAACACGTCGAAATATTTCCATCCCGCCGGGAATCGAACCCGGGCCCTCCGTGTGTGAAGCGAGAGCTTTAGCCACCAGGCCACCGGGAAAAAAAAAAAAAAAGCCTTCGATATTGTCAACCACAATACATAATGTATGCAACTTCAAGCTATCGGCATAGGTTCCATAGACTAGTTTAAATCCTATCTTAGCAACAGAAAATAAATCGTCAAAATCAACAAAACAGAATCAGAACCCCTGGCGATAGAATGTATAGTTCCCCTAGGTAGTATTCTAGGTCCCTATTATTTCTATGTTATGTAAACGACATGCCCATCAGTGTCAAATGTAAACTCTTAATGTATGCAGATGACAGTGCTCTGTTAGTGTCAGGTAAAGACCCACAAGATACAGCTAATGTAATAACACTGAAACTGGAGTCCTGCAGCAAGTGGTTAGTAGACAAACTATCGTTACACCTTGGGAAAACGGAAGCCAGACTCTTCGGCACGAAACAAACTGAGAAGGGTAAATAATTTTAATGTCTGGTTTAATGGGGAACCCATCACTTCAGTTTCCTCAGTAAAATATCTGGGAATCCCCTTTGACCCAAGCATGTCAGAAGAATTGATACGGAAGTGAAGTAAAGAAAGCAAATGCCAGACTGAAGTTTCTCTACAGACAAGCACAGTGTTTACCTACTGAGACTCGCAGGACCCTATGACCTATGTCAAAATCAACAAAACAGAATCATATGGACCACGCTTGCTATTCATGGTACTCTGCCTTAACAACAACAACAAAACTGAAAGACTGCAAATCACCCAGAACAAAATGGTAAGATTCATCCTTGATGCTGGTGAGGTGCTCTTGATCTAGGGAACTGCATGTGCTCCGGTTCCCTGAATTGAGCCTGAATACCTACCCCCCCCCCCACGTGAGCTGGAGTTTGTTTACCTGGAGAGAGTTCCGGGGGTCAACGCCCCCACGGCCCGGTCTGTGACCAGGCCTCATGGTGGATCAGGGCCTGATCAACCAGGCTGTTACTACTGGCTGCACGCAATCCAACGTGCGCTGTATAATCCTACGGGTTTAGCGCTCCCCATGATTATAATAATCACCCTGAACCTGGGTCCAAGAGAACATGTAAGTCAGGATGAATTACAACAATTGGATATGCTGAATGTTGAAGACAGTAAAACAACTGAAGTTAAATGAAGTTTATAAAATTGCTCAGTGTCCAGAATATCTTGCTACCAATTTTCTCAAGGTTGGGAACCAAAGCAATCATAGTACTAGGGGTAGAGCACAACTTAGTAGTACCCACAGTCAGTGGCCAGGCTTCAAACACCTTTTATTGTTCAGCAATAAAGGAATGGAGCAGATTGCCTGCACATGTCAAAGCCAGTCATAGCATGAACCAGTTCAAGAAGAGAGCCAAAAGGTGCCTAATGAATGTAGCCACAGAAAGGGGGGAGAATGATTTACTTTTTTATTTTAGCTAACACACATGTAAATATAAATAACTTATTTTACCTTATACTAGGAATATGTCCTTTATAGTATAATAAGATATTATCTCCTTTATAGTATAATAAGGTATTAAAAGGACCCCAATGGAAATAAGTCACTGACTTTTTTGGGTTATCCCAGGTTCTCTACAAATATGCTATGTACAATAATCTATGTAACCGTATTTGTGTATACCTGAATAAACTTACTTACCCACAACGTATCAAAGGATAGTTGACGCAATCATCTATCTTGTTAATCCCCTTCCATAACAGATCACCGAATAACCGATGCAGCCATCTCTCTAATCTCTTCTCATAACACATCACTGAACTGCCAACGCAATCGTCTGTCTTCCTGATCAATTTCTCAGGCATCACACTACACTACCACATTACCATCCACTTCTTCCTTTCAATTTCTTGTTGACTAACTTCTCATGTACTAAAAATGGATACAATAAGATGTGCATCTAAAATGGTCATTTCAATGTAATAAAAAGTAACAAAATCTTAATTTCAAGCTGCCGTTGTCAGTGAACTGCGGAATGCTCGACAATATCCTAATTCGTCTACTGAAATCTCCAACTTCAGGCTGACAGATTTCTTTACCTCGCCTGAAACCAGTGTTGTGCTCAGTTGTTGACCCAGTTGTGCTCTTGGCTCCTGTGTGAAGTGTGACAGGAAACACTGTTTTGAGTGATGGGTGGGTTAGACAAAACATTTCTGCTAACCTTGTAACCTTGAATGGATCAGTGTAGTAGTAAGGAATTAATGCATGATATATCATAGAATGTAGGAAATTATAAAAAGTACTCACTGTTGCCATTGAATTATACGTTTATCACCACATAAAAAAAGTTCTGTGTAACTTTGTTTTAATATTACATATAACAAATCATTATCATCAAATTTCTTTAATTTAACAATATCTTATACCTATTTATATACGTACCTTTTCATAAAAAACAGACATCTTCAAAATGCATACCAACACCCTTTAGATAATCAAAATATAATATAATAAAAATATATATAATATATAATATATACATATATATAATATATAATATACATATATATATATATATATATATATATATATATATATATACATACACATAAATATCTCCAAAATCCATGAATTTAAGCTGTTTAACGCACCTACCACTGAAGAAGTAATCATTTAACATGTCATGATTTATTTTACAATGCAAGGGTACAGTCGAGCTGCAATAATTTAAAGATACCCGTGTGGTGGTGATGACTTGTCAGTAAGTGATGAATTCACAAGGCAGGATGGGTTCCTTAAGTAGCTAATATTGGCATATCTATTTTTCTATCATCTAACCAACAGAACAAATATAAACTAGACGAATACTTATATTGTACACAAATTTCAACATTTGTCTGATACATTTTAGAAATTAATAATATACATGATATGATACAAGGATTGCACCTGTCGTGGGAAGCACATAATTAAGGTAATACCGGCTGTTATTTTCATGATATTACCGTGCTTCCATAATCTACTTATTTTAAAATTGTAAAATAAATCAATAATACTAATAATCACATTCATATTGACTATAACATTTAATCATTAATTAAGTTATATATTTGTTAACATTTTACTCCCAGGAGGGAAGATCTACACATCATAACATAAATTTAGTTTTTTCCAGGACTATTTGCTGATGTTAATTAATACGTATTGCAAAACATCAATGTCAGTGTACCGAAAAGTCAACGTGAGAGAACCTGCTAGAAAATATAACCTAATGGTAAGAACGGCGGCTGCCTCAGGTAATTTCCACTATTGTAAGAGATTATAACTATAAACATGAACAATTATAACAAAGATCAACATACCTTGCACCAGGAAAGAATTACACGAACGCAGCAGCTGTATAAGTGACGAGGAGATAGCCATGGTGGTTTCTTTTTCTTGCGGCAGTTCTCCAGTGCCCTCAGCCTTAACAATCATGTTGGTCACTCAAACAAGCACTGAGGGGCACCAAGTCTAAGTGTATGAGGTGCAAGTAAATCTTTACCAATATCAAATGTATATCCCAGTCAGGGTGGTTGGATCAATCCATGAACCGTCCTCTTCACTCCCGTGACTGTTGGTTACTAACGTTGTCTGCTACAGTGGAGGCAGATATACCTGCGCAGCAGCCCACGTTTAATTCTGCGCACACGACCCAACCCCTCGGGGATTTCCTTCCCTTGATAGGAGAGAGAGAGATAACATGCAACTTCAAGTCTAAACCGGATTTTTTTCTCTATACCAACATTGATGGTATAATAACGACTGATATTAAGAGCAAGCCTTAATGGAAGTTTTTAATATGTTTATTATGCACCCCATCATACCCATCCTGTGGGTGGTAGTTAAAAGATTACAGAGGTACATAATGGGTCCAGGGACTGGACCCCAAAGTTTTGATAGCTAAGCAAGTTACAAAGGTCGGTTAATGGTAGCCAATGTAAAAAGTCAGTCTGATATCATTTAGTTATTCTAGGTTCAATCTACGTAATGAACTTTATATATGCCCATACCACATATGCCCTCAAAACCACTGAAGAAAAGTATAACCGCAAAGCCTAAATACAAACCTATTTATAGGTTTTTAGACATTTAGAAAATATACAATAGGCCTACTTTACTTGTATTAACAGAAGTTTTTCAGGCGTAGGTCTGTTGTCCCCTCGAGCGTAGGTAGACACGTTATCACTTCTGTTATAACTTTGATGTCGTAACATAAATAAAATATTTCTGGCTCCTAAAGGCTGCTCACACTGCTGTCTAGGGGTTATAAAATTACTCTGAAATACACAGCAAACCTTGGGCCAGCGTGTACTCGTATATTAAACAATATTAATTATTATTATTAGGAAGGAAGGACAAAAACTCACCTACATAAAACTATATCTACATTAATAGTAACTTATATACAACTTATAAGTACTTCAAAAAACCCACCACACTGCACTTCACATTAGCTCACTAGAACACTGCTACTAATGAGTTAAACAAAATAAATCATCAGGGAAGCACCATGACCCCTCCCCCCCCCGTCTTCACTTCTGCCAGGTAGACTAATTACCAGCAGGTAAAACACCATACAGTACTCTCGCATTAACAGGCCTCTGCATACTAGGGCCTTACAAATAAACATGAAAGCACTTAAACACAAACACCTATAGTATACACCAAAAAAAATTACCAAAATTATCTACTCAAACTACCGGCCAAACATGATGACTTTACCCCCGTCACCACCGCCTCGTACCGAACTAAACACACCTCTCCTCTGCTCCTGTCCTGGCCACTGGAGGTTACCTGCCTGACTGACAGGAATAAAATGCGTTCGCTTTCAGGGAATAATACATGTCCACTTTCTACCCACAACCGACTCACAACCAAAGGACCTAGGTTCAATCCCTGGGTCGGGTGAAGACGTTGAGCATATTTCAGTATACCTGATACTTTTGTTCACCCAGTAGAAAATAGGTACCTTGGTGTTAAATGACCGTGGTGTGTCACATGATGAAGGAGAGGACCGAAGATCACAATGGAAACAAGCCACATTGACTTCATTCACTTATCCACTTATCCACTTAGCCACTAGACCAGCTAGCCACAATAAGATTCATCCAACTAGGTATATTTCTACACCATAGGAAGGTTAGCACAGGCACCTCTGTGACCACAAATGCAAGTTTTTACAGACGAATCTCCAGCTAGCGTGGCCGTGACGAACTCTAGCTCAAGTCCCTTCACTGCCGTCAACATGACTTAAGAAATCGTAATGACACGATTTCTTAAGTCATGTTGACGGCAGTGAAGGGACTTGAGCTAGAGTTCGTCACGGCCACGCTAGCTGGAGATTCGTCTGTAAAACTTGCATTTGTGGTCACAGAGGTGCCTGTGCTAACCTTCCTATGGTGTAGAAATATACCTAGTTGGATGAATCTTATTGTGGCTAGCTGGTCTAGTGGCTAACGCGACGGGCTGGAGTTTTGAGACTCTATGACCGCGGGTTCAATCCCGGCCGGGGGTATGGTTTGTTTGCAATCGTGTCATTACGATTTCTTAAGTCATGTTGACGGCAGTGAAGGGACTTGAGCTAGAGTTCGTCACGGCCACGCTAGCTGGAGATTCGTCTGTAAAAACTTGCATTTGTGGTCACAGAGGTGCCTGTGCTAACCTTCCTATGGTGTAGAAATATACCTAGTTGGATGAATCTTATTGTGGCTAGCTGGTCTAGTGGCTAATGCGACGGGCTGGAGTTTTGAGACTCTATGACCGCGGGTTCAATCCCGGCCGGGGGTATGGTTAATCTAATAGTCTTTGTCTTCTACTGAGTGCTAGAGTTCTAGTAGGTTCTCCAGCGGTGTCCCGGATCATTTGTAAATAGAAATTCCCCAACTGGAGCAATAGTTGGCGTATTAAAATGCTAAGCCTCATTAAGAAATCCAATTAAAACTTGTTAAGAGTTGTGGGTAACATGCCGACATGACGCCCAAGAGGGTTGGCTGAGAGAGCCCGTGCAGTCCTTTCCTGGTGTGCCATCATTACATGATTTGGTGGTAGAGACTTTGCTTCTCAACCTAGTAGAGACATATGGGCAACTCTCCTTACATCTTTGGCCCCTATTCACCTGCTTTCTTAAAAACTGGGAATACATATGCTGACTTCCACGCCGCTGACAGTTGTCCAGTGTCGATAAACTTGTTGAAGATTGTTGCTGGGTGTCACACACAGTACCTCTTATTCCCTCTCTCAGGACACACGGAAAGATATTATCTAGTTCCACCGTCTTCGAGGTGTCTAGCTCACACAGTAGATTATTTACCTTTTCCCCAGTTGTATGATGTCCAATGCTCGCTGGTGCAATCTGCTGCTTCGGTTCACTGGTACCTTTCCTGTCTGCTCTGAGAATACTTCTCTAAATCTCTTCCTGAGATTCTCACAGGCTTCCAGGTCATTCCTTGTTAGCTCCCCTCCTTCCTTCTTCAGCCTGATTACCTGGATCCTTACTGTTGTCTTCCTCCTGATGTAACTGTAACAACTCTGGGTCATATTTGTCTGTCGATGCTGTCATTCTCAAAGTGTCGTTAAAACTCTCTTTTTATCCATGCATATTCGTTTCATGTGTGCTCACATAACTGTGCTCACCTAATTGTGGTTTCAGGGGTCGATTCATAGCTCCTGGCTTTGCCTCTTCACTGGTCGCTACTAGATCCTCTCTTTCCCTGCTAAATGAGCTTTATCAAACCTCATCTTAAATCTATGTATGGTTCCTGCCTCTGCTATGTCACTTTCCAGACTATTCCACATCCTGACAACTCTATGACTGAAGAAATACTTCCTAACATCCCTTTGACTCATCTGAGTCTTCATCTTCCAATTGTGACCCCTTGTTTTTGTGTCCCATCTCGGGAACATTCTGTCCCTGTCCACCTAGTCAATTCCTCACAGTATTTTTATGTCGTTATCATGTCTTCCCTAACCCTCCTGTCTTCCAGTGTCGTCAGGCCGATTTCCCTTAACCGTTCTTCGTAGGACATTCCCCTTAGCTCCGGGACTAGTCTTGCTGCAAACCTTTGCACTTTCTCTAATTTCTTGATGTACTTGACCAGAAGTGGATTCCAAACTGGTGCTGCATACTCCAATATGGGTCTGACGTACACGGTGTGCAGTCTTCAACGATTCCTTACTGAGGTATCGGAACACTATTCTTAGGTTTGACAGGAGCCCATGTGCTGCAGCAGTTATCTGGTTGATGTGCACCTCATTCTTAGTAATGACCCTCATATTGTAGATAGTCTTAATGACCCTCGTATAGTAAAAAGTCTTTTTAGTATGATAATAAGATGTTATCTCCATCATAGAATAATAATAAGATATTATAACCTTCATATTTTAATAATAAGGTTAAAGGACCCCAATGAAAATATGTCACTCTGTCTGACTTTTTTGGGTTATCCCAGGTACTTTACACATATGCTGCTATGTATGATAATCTATGTAACTGTAATTGTGTATACCTGAATAAACTTACTTACAGGAGATGTGCTTGGTATTATACTCACTCCAAGATCCTTTTTCTTGAGTGAGTTTGCAGTCTTTGGCCACCTAGCCTATACTCTGTCTGCGGCCTTCTTTGCCCTTCCCTGATCTTAATGACTTTACATTTGGCAGGGTTAAATTCGAGGAGCCAATTGCTGGACCAGGCTTACAGGCTGTCCAGGTTTCCTTGTAGTCTTGCCTGATCATTATCCGATTTAATTCTCTTCATTAACTTCACGTCATCTGCAAACAGGGACACTTCTGAGTCTATCCCTTCTGGCATGTCATTCACATATACCAAAAACAGCACTGGTCCTAGGACTGACCCCTGTGGAACCCCGCTCGTCACAGGTGCCTACTCTGACACCTCGTCACATACCATGACTCATTGTTGCCTCCCTGTCAGGTATTTTCTGATTCATTACAGTGCCTTTCCAAGAATATTGTCCTAACCAAACCTAATGAAACACCACTGCATCCCACTGACACAGCTAACAAGATAAACGACTTCTTCTCAACCATAGGTTCTAATCTCGCCAATAAAATCCCACGTACCAATGCCCATGCCGGGGACTACCTAGATGGGAATTTCCCAAATTCCTTCTATCTTGCTCCAACTGAGCCCACGGAAGTCACCGAGATTATAAAGTCACTTAAAAATAACTCAGGGAATCTGTCTCATGTCCCACCATTATTGTACAAGAGAGCGGCCCATGTCCTCTCGCATGCTATCTCATTACTTTTTAACAAGTCACTAGAAACTAGCACCTTCCCGAAACTACTCAAGACGGCAAGGGTTACACCAATACATAAAGGTGCTGACCCTACAGATTTAAACAACTACAGGCCAATATCAAACTTACCATTGCTATCCAAAATCTTTGAGAAACTCGTGCACAGGAGACTATATTCATTTATAACGGCACAAAACATACTCAACCCCTGCCAATTTGGATTCAGGAAAAATAAAAGCACTAACGATGCAATCATAAAAATGCTAGATCTGCTTTACACAGCATTGGAAAATAAGGAATATCCACTAGGAATTTTTATTGACCTAAGAAAAGCGTTTGACACAGTAGACCACGGCATCCTACACCACAAACTTGACCATTATGGTATAAGAGGCCATGCACTTGCATAT